TGAATCATACAAACCACCATCTATACCAAATGCCAGAAATCAACTCACGTGCTCAAGAAATACGTCCCGGTTAGTGAACCAACTTCATCTCAACATCACAAATCAATTCACGTTAATTAAGTTTTGTTTAGGCTGGTTTAGATAATCGGTTCAACAATACAACACAACAACATGATACACGTACGATACTCAGATTAAGCCGATTACCTTTCTCGGTGTTTTCTCTCAACAGATCTGTTGGGCGGCTCAATGGGGCGGTTCAAGTTAACGGCAGTAATGTCCTCATGGCTCAACAATCCAAAGGAAACAAAGCAAGACAACATAAGAAACTTCCTGTGCAAGTTACTATAGAGATCTAGGGTTTCCTTACCTTTAACGGCCTCGACGATAGCTACGGCTGCTCCGGTGAAACACGGTGGCCATGGTCTCACGCTCTCTCTCTTCTCCTCCACCAGACTCACGATAGTTTTGTTGGTGTTTGGCTGTTGGTGTTTTGGCGCTAATAAAGTGATCGTGTTGTGTTTGATTTGTTTGAATTGGTCTTTGTGTTTGAGCTAGTGGTCAATAAGGACCGAGTATTACGGTCAAGTTTGTTTAGGTTCTGTTTCAGTATTTTACTCTGTTAGTTGCAGTATTTTCGGGTTTTCAAGTTGACTGTAAGGCTATTTATAGTCATGGTTTCTTTTGATTAATGAGAAGTAAGTTTCAGCAACACATTGTCCGATTCCATTGTTTACAAGTGGTATCAGAGCCTTGGTGATTGTTGAAACCAGAGAGAGAGAAGCCGTAGCTTCAAGAGAAACAAGATGAGTGATGATAAGATGAAACTACCTAATTTTGATGGTCATTGGGATCATTGGAGTGAAGTCATGGAGAACTTCTTCCGAGCAAAAGGGTTGTGGAGAGTGATCGAGAGCGGTTTTGAAGAACCTTCTGTCACGACGGTGTTGACTCAAGACCAGAGACAGCTGCTCGATGATGCGAAGATAAGTGATCAAAAAGTCAAACATTATCTCTATCAATCAATCGATAGAGTAACGTTTGAACAAATCTTGGACATGAGAACGTCTAAGATCATCTGGGACTCAATGAAAAGTAAGTTTGGTGGCAATGCTCGAGTGAAGAGATCGTTGTTACAGAAGCTAAGAAGGGATTTTGAAGTCTTGGAGATGAAAGAGACAGAGACCATTGACGAGTACTTCAAACGTGTTCTAGCTATCACCAATCAAATGAGGAGCAATGGTGAGGTGATGGATGACACAAAAGTGGTGGAGAAGATCTTGAGAACTCTCAGTGAGAAGTTTATATATGTGGTGGTGTCCATAGAAGAGTCAAAGGACATTGAGAGGATGACTCTTGATGAGCTGCAGAGTTCTCTGGGAGTTCATGAACAAAAGTTCAAAAAGGTGGAAAAGGTGGATGAACAAGTGATGAATGTCACGTATGGGAGAGGATCTGGTACCAGGGGAAGAGGAAGAGGAAGAGGACGTGGCCAAGGCAGAGGATTTGATAAAAGCACAATCGAGTGCTACAAATGCCATAAGCTTGGCCATTTCAAAAATGAATGTCCAATGTGGGAGGAGGAAGCAAATTATGCGAACATGGAGAATGAGCCGATGCTTTTGATGGTTCATACCGAAGGAAAAGAAGAATCAGATGGTGATGTAGAAACTGCAGAAATGATGCTGATGGCTCTCGCGGGAGATCCAGATCATATGAGGAGAAGGGCATGGTTTCTCGATTCAGGCTGTTCAAATCACATGAGTGGGGATGATTCTCTATTTACAACCATGGATTCGAGATTCAAACACTCAGTCAAGCTTGGAAATGACAAGAGGATGGAAGTGACTAGGAAAGGAAACGTAAATCTGAAGCTAAATGGAGAACTTTACACGATCAGTGAGGTATATTACGTTCCTGAACTCAGAAATAACTTGCTAAGTCTTGGTCAGCTCCAGGAGAAAAGATTGAGTATGCTCATTCAGAAGGGCTCCTGCAAGATTTTTCATGAAGAAAGAGGCTTAATTGCTGAAAGCAAGATGAGTCTAAACAGGATGTTCATGCTATTTGATGAAAAAAGTGCAGAGGAGAGGTTAAACAAGAAGCAGTGCTACCAAGTAAGCTCAGACGAGACTGTGGCATGAAAGGTACGGGCATCTGCATCATCGAGGAATGAAAACATTGCAGAGCAAAGGTATGGTTCGAGGACTTCCTATGTTCGATATTCAGACCTTTACTTGCACAGATTGCCTTGTTGGGAAGCAACAGAGAAAACCAATTCCGAAAAGAAGCACTTGGAGAGCTAAAGAAGTGCTTGAGCTTGTTCACTCTGATATATGTGGACCAATCAGTCCAATTTCTACAAGCGGTGTAAGATACATTTTCTGCCTCATTGATGATCACAGCATGAAGGCTTGGGTCTATTTCTTGAAAGAGAAGTCTGAAGCCTTTCACCAGTTTAAGATGTTCAAGAAACGAGTGGAGACTGAGACTGGGAAAAGTCTGAAATGTCTGAGAACAGACAGAGGAGGGGAATATACTTCGAATGAGTTTATGGCATACTGCCAAGAACATGGCATAAAAAGGCAACTAACCACTGCATACACCCCTCAACAGAACGGTATTGCAGAGAGAAAGAATCGCACTGTGATGAATATGGTGAGATCCATGCTATCCACGAGGAAGGTACCGCGAATTTTCTGGCCAGAAGCAGTGAGCTGGACGTTTCATGTTCTGAACAGATGCCCTACTCATGCTGTTAAAGACATGACACCACAAGAAGCATGGAATGGAGTGAAACCAAATGTCGATCACTTCCGAGTCTGGGGCTGTCTGGCTCAACCACACATCTCTGACGAAAAGCGAGGTAAATTGAATGATAAGAGCAGTACCTGTATTCTATTTGGTTTCTCTGAAGAGTCTAAGGGTTATAGGTTATATGATCCGAAGAACAAACGGATAGTGATCAGTAGAGATGTGGTGTTTGAAGAAGGAAAACGTTGGAACTGGGAGAATGATCATATTACTATTGATTCAGAGCTAACCTGGAATGATGGTGATGTTGTATGGGAAGACAGTGACGATGAAAACAGTGATGAGGAAGATGCTGAACAGCAAGCTGCAGTGGTGGTTGCAGAAGCTACAGAAGAAACCGATAATAGAGGAACTCAGAGTCAGCCTGCTGTCATAACAAGGCCTAGAAGGCAAGTGGGAGCACCACGATATCTAAATGATTATGTCAGGGGTGAGAATGATGAAGAAGAAGAAGAAGAAGAGGAAGTTAACATAGTTGAGATAAACTCATTCGATCCTACCACTTATGAAGAAGCAGAGAAGAGTCTTAAGTGGCGAGACGCTATGGACGATGAGATAAACTCAATCATGAAGAATGAAACATGGACGTTGCAACACTTACCTGAAGGAGCAAAGTCCATTGGAGTCAAATGGATATTCAAAACGAAATTAAATGAAAGAGGAGAAATTTCCAAGTACAAGGCTCGTCTTGTTGCTAAGGGATATTCTCAGAAGGAAGGGATCGATTACACTGAGGTTTATGCACCTATTGCTCGTATGGACACCATTCGCACCATTCTCAACATTGCAGCTCGGGAGGCTTGGACCATTTTTCAGTTGGATGTCAAATCGGCGTTTCTCTATGGTGTGCTGAAAGAAGAAGTGTATGTTCAGCAACCGAGAGGATATGAAGTTGCAGGAGAGGAGGTGAAAGTGTGCAAGCTTTATAAGGCGCTGTATGGCCTAAAACAGGCTCCGCGAGCTTGGTTTAGCCGTATTGAAGATTATTTCATCAAGGAGGGTTTTGAGAAGTCCCTGAACGAAGAAAATCTGTTTCAAAAATCCAATGATCGAGGTAACACTTTGTTTGTCAGCATCTATATGGATGACCTTATCTATACAGGAAACGATGAGTCAATGATGAAAAACTTCAAGACGTCGATGATGAGAGAGTTTGACATGACGGATCTTGGCAAGATGCGATACTTTTTGGGGCTTGAAGTGTTGCAGACACCACACGGGATTCACATGTCACAAACAAAGTATGCTGCAGAGATTCTCAAACGTTTTGAGATGGAAGAATGCAACGCTGTACGCAATCCTTTGGTGCCGGGAAGCAAACTAGACCTAGATGAAGGAGGAGAGAGAGTAGATGAGACCTTGTACAAGCAGATTGTTGGGAGTCTGATATACATTACAAACACCAGACCAGATCTCCAGTTTGCTGTAAGTCTTCTAAGTCGTTATATGTCTCGACCTACTACTTTGCACCTTGCAGCCGCAAAGAAAGTAATGAGATATCTGAAGGGCACAATGGATTTTGGTCTTTGGTACAAAAGAGGAGGAAGAAGAGAGTTACTGATCTACACTGACAGTGATTTTGCTGGAGATCTTGACAGTAAGAGAAGCACATCAGGCTATGTTTTTCTCATGGATGAAGCTGCAGTAACTTGGTCCTCAAAGAAACAACCGATTGTCACCTTAAGTACTACAGAAGCTGAGTATGTGGCGGCATCAGTCTGTGCTTGTCAAGCCATCTGGTTCAAGAGAATTTTGGAGGAACTAGGCTGTGATGCAGGAGGGAGTATGGAGATTTTATGTGATAACACTTCAACGATCAAACTGTCTAAGAATCCAATCTTCCATGGGAGATGCAAACACATTGGAGTTCGGTTTCATTTTCTTCGTGATTTGGTTAAGGAAGGTGTCATACGATTGGAGCATTGTGGTACACAGGGCCGGCCCATGGGTAAAGCCCATGAAGCAAGGGCTTTAGGCATCAAATAATTATAAGTAGTTTTAGGGGCATCAATTTTTAAAATGTTACTGTAGTCTAGTGGTTAGATTGAAGTCTTTTGTTCTACAGGTCACAGTTTCGAATCCCATACATGTTAAAACTTGTTTTTTTTTTTACAATAGCTTTTGTTAATGGGCCAAATTTTTTTTTGCTTTAGACACTCAAATAGTTTGGGCCGGCCCTGGTGGTACACAAGAGCAGGTAGCAGACATTTTCACTAAGCCTTTGAAGCGTCAAGTGTTCGAGCGTCTCAGAGGGAAGCTTGGAGTTTGTTCTGCTGGTGGTAAACTAAACTTTGCAACCAAAGTTTAGTTTAAGGAGGGTTTGTTGGTGTTTGGCTGTTGGTGTTTTGGCGCTAATAAAGTGATCGTGTTGTGTTTGATTTGTTTGAATTGGTCTTTGTGTTTGAGCTAGTGGTCAATAAGGACCGAGTATTACGGTCAAGTTTGTTTAGGTTCTGTTTCAGTATTTTACTCTGTTAGTTGAAGTATTTTCGGGTTTTCAAGTTGACTGTAAGGCTATTTATAGTCATGGTTTCTTTTGATTAATGAGAAGTAAGTTTCAGCAACACATTGTCCGATTCCATTGTTTACAAGTTTCTCACAATGACGGCCATGTAAGCTTTGGAACGGCGGCGGCAATCAACGCCAACAACACACAAGGCGGTGGCCCTAGGATTCAATTTGCTTCTCCACCTCACGACTCCGAAGACAAAATGAACACACAACTAGGGTTGCGTTTCTTTGACGGCTTAAAGAAAGAGGGAGATATATATATATGCACATATATATTTACGAACTTACCAAATCCTTTTTCTCGTTTTTGTCATTCAATTGGGCCTTTAATGGGTTTTGCTTATCAACTAACAAAACAATTAAGTGGGTTTGAGACCATTATTGGTTTGAGGATGTTACATAATTACTCTAGGGTATGCAAAAAAACGTGGGGACCAAATGCTGTTCTTGTCTGAAACATATAGCTTTTTTTTTGTGTGACAGCAAATGACATTGATTAGAGCGCAAGCCGGGGTGAACAACAACATAAGGAAACTGAACATGAGCATAAACCGTAGTGGCAACAACCACATCATGCATGTGGTTCTTTTCACGCTCCTCGTCTCCTTTATCGTCTACATGTGGTCCAAGATGTTCAAAAGATAGCGTAATATTAAACAAAAAACTGACGATGAATGTTCAGATCAATCGGCCAAGAATGGAATCTAGCAATCCCCTATCTCAAGTTAAAATATTATGGATTTGGTTGTGAGGTTCTTTTTCTTTTTTAAGATAAACTGGTTCTGAAATTATACTCTGGCGATTTTATATTATACTTTTTTTTGTATTATTATTCATCTGTAAAAAAAATATAACTTGTAATGAAAATCTATAAATAATTGGTGGTATAAGATTATATTATACCGCTATTATTTCCAAATGATAAAGCAATGATTAGAGTAGTTGTTTCTTTATATTTTTAGATAGAAATTATACGATATTGTTGTCTATGATTTAAAAATATGGAAGGAAAGCATATTCGAAAACCTAGAAAGAGGAGTATAACAAGAAATGAGCAGCCACAAAGAAAAGGATGGAGAATTCGCCTCTCAAGAACCTTAGACGTTCAACTTACAAGGAAAAACACTAACTTGTTATTAAAGCTAGTTAGACCTCTTTGTAATTGGATCGACCTGATTCTTGAATTCAATAAAGAAAAAAAATTTCTCGACTTTACTTCCTTAATTTAGTTCTCCGGTTAACCTATGCTGATTTGTCTCGCATAATTTTGGCGCCGCCTGTGGCGAGGCGTACATAGAAGCTCCCCCAGAACCTGTTGAAGTGTTTATTTGTTTCGACTTTTGAATAAGAAACAGAGTAAGAACAGTGGTTGTAACTTGATCTTTATTGATAACTTGAAAAAGTATTACAACTCGAGTAACATGTGTTTAACAATCACACGATCTAGAGTATTTAAACAAACCGAACAGATGTGATGTGTAAATGAAAGAACACAACTCTTAATCTAAAAGACACAACCTTAACACAGAGTATTTGTGCCTCTTGATCAAGTAACTAACTAATGTGAATGTAACTAACTTATACGAGATTTTGATTATAGTTCAACACTCCTCCTTAATCAAATCTCTGTTGCACTCCAAGCTGTCTTCGAAGTTCTTCAAATCTTGAGCTACTTAACGCCTTTGTGAGTATGTCCGCGAGTTGATCTTCTCCTTTGCAGTATTCCAGTTGAATAAGTCCCTTGCTCTCTGCCTCACGAACATAATGATACTTGATCTCTATGTGTTTTGTTCTCTTATGCTGCACTGGATTCTTCCCGATTGCTATGGCGGACTTGTTGTCACAAAAGATTGTGATTCCTTCCTTGATCTCTTCTCCAAAATCCTTGAGGAGTCTTTGAAGCCAGACTGCTTGATTCGTTGCTGCACATACGGCCACATACTCTGCTTCAGCCGTTGATTGAGCAACGGTTTGTTGCTTGCTTGATTGCCAACAGAACACGGCTAATCCAAGGGTAAAAACATATCCTGATGTGCTTTTCTTGTCTTCAACGGAACCACCCCAATCGCTGTCTGAGTAGCCGATTAACCTTGGCTCTTCCACACTTGTGAACTGAACCCCAAGACTTGATGTACCTTTGACATAACGTAACACTCGCTTTGCTTCCTAGTAGTGCTTCATCTTTGGCGCTGACATGTATCTTGCGAGGTAAGAGCTTGCATACATCACATCAGGTCGTGATGCACATAAGTATAGAAGGCCTCCGACAATGCTTCTATACTTTGTTTGATCGCCATATTCTCTGTCATCTCCTTCCTTCTTACCTTGTGGTGTAAGTGGAGTGCTTACCATCTTGCTTGATCTCATCCCAAACTTGTCTACAAGTTTGTTAGCATACTTTTCTTGAGAAAGAAATATGCCGTGATCATCTTGGATTACTTCAAAACCGAGAAAGTAACTTAGCAATCCAAGATCCGTCATCTCGAACTCTCTCTTCATGTTTTCCTTGAATGTATTAACGAGATGAATGTTGCTTCCTGTGATGATGATGTCGTCCACGTAAAGGCTTACGATCAACACATCTCTTCCTTGCTTCATAGTATACAGCGCTGCATCGATCATACTTCTCTCAAAACCGTTTTGAATAAAGTATGAATCGATTCTTCCATACCAAGCCCGAGGGGCTTGCTTGAGACCGTATAAGGCTTTGTGAAGCCTTAACACCTTCTCTTCCTTTCCTTCAATCACGAACCCAGGTGGTTGTGTAACATAAACCTCTTCTTTTAATTCTCCATTTAGAAAGGCTGACTTGACATCCATTTGGTATAGCTTCCACTTCCTTTGAGCCGCGTATGCAAGTATAGCTCTTATGGTGTCGTGCCTTGAGACTGGAGGAAAAGTCTCTTGGTAGTCAACTCCATGTTCTTGAGAGAAACCACGAGCAACCAATCTTGCCTTGTATTTGATTGGCTCTCCATTTGCACCCGTCTTTATCTTGTAAATCCATTTCACACTGATTACGTTCTTCTTCTCTGGTTTATCTACAAGTTTCCAAGTGTTGTTTCTCTCGATCATCGATATCTCTTCGATCATGGCTCTTCTCCATTCCTCGATCTCAACTGCTTGATCATAGTTTTGCGGTTCTTCTTGTGCAAGAAGACATGCTTCTATGACTTGAGCCGTTCTTAGCTTTATCCTAAAGCTTTTATTCATCATTGGAATCTCCAAGATCTTCTTCTCTCTTGCATCCAGAATGATGAATTTCTTCTCTTGGAAACATACTTGATAGCCACTAGAGATTATTTGTGGCACACTCAACCGTCTTTCACCTTCCTTTAG